GGGAACACACTAACTAACCCATCCATTATACCATGAGAATGATTACAGGCTTAGAAAACATGCTTTATGGTGAAGACTCAAGGAGCCTGTGATAGGTACACTCCCCCACATTGGTTCTGAGAGGGCTGAGGTGGGCCAGGCAGGCCCCATCAGCCAATTAGGTAGCAAGATGAGGGAATTATGGGTGAGAGGAAAGCCCTAATTAGGAGAAAGTTCACCTGAGCAGGGGTAGGCAGGGCTAGAATAAACTCAGGAAGCTGGCCACAGTAAAGGCTGTTGGGAGGAAGTCTGTGGTTGCCTTCTGGGTAGTAGAGAGAGAAGGAGGGAACCCAGGGAAAGAGTAGGTCCCTGGCTCAGCTCGGTGGGAAGGGAATCCTGAAGACAGTAGGGTGGAGAAGAGCACCTTGTGGGAAGCAGCTTTGTGGGAGGGGGGGTTAGCAGCATGGTTAGGGACTGAACTTTGGCTGTGTGTTGTAGGGTCCTGGGCTGGAACCCAGAGTAGAGGATGGGCCTGGGTTACCCTCCCTGCCATGGGGGAGTGGCACCGGCAGGATAGTGAACTGGAAGACTGCCTGGGCCACTGTGGGAATGACAGCGTGTGAGGACTACTGGATGCCACTTGAACAGATGAAACTTTGACGGACACGACCCTGGAAGGGAGGAACGCTGAGCACCCTCAGGGCGGAGTCCTAAAGAGGCAGACAGCGAGAGGGGGGCTGCAGACAGAGAGAGCAATGGTGTGAAACTGCAGGGAGAGGCGTTGGCCTTGCAGAGCTAATCCCCAGAGCGACCAGGAAGAGGCATTATGGTGAGTAGAGCACCCTACCACGGAGCCTAATCTAGTGATTTTAACAAAGAGAGGGTTAAAGGGTGACTTGATCACAGTCTGTAAGCTACTACATGGGAGGGGAAACAAATGGGCTCTTCAGTCTGGCGGACAAAGGTAAAATGTGGCTGAAATTTGAAACTAGACAAATTCAGACTGGAAATAAAGTGTCCGTTTTTAACAGTGAGGGTGATTAACCATTGAAACAATTTGCCAAGGGTCACGGTGGATTCTCCATTGCTGGCCATTTTAAAATCAGAATGGGACGTTTCTCTAAAAGATCTGCTCTGGGTCAAACAGGAATTATTTTAAGGAGGTTGTGTAGCTTGTGTGATACATGAGTTCTGACTAGATGATCACAATGGTTCCTTCTGGCCTGGGAATCTGAGACTATAAATACAGCAAAGCGAGGTTCAAGGAGAGATTACAGAGAGGTAGCAGGATCAGACTCTGGAGGGGGTAGCATTAAGAACCGGGTCAAGAGAATTTTTTGGGATGTGAGAAACAGCCTAGGCGATTTTTACCCATCGAAAGATGTGGATTCTTAAATGTAGAATGTCAAGTTCCGCTATTAAAGTGGCAGTGTCTGATAGTGGAAAGGTGGCTTATAAATTTAGAGCAGTGGGTTAGAACTTGTTCTAGAGTTAGAAGTGTAAAGTGGCAGTTTCTAAATTTCTCTCATCCTGTTTCCTTTTCTCTGTCTCTTTTTCTCTTGTTCTGATCTCTCTCTCTCTCTCTCTCTCTCTCTGTTTCTGTCACCTTGTCTCTATGCCCTGGTCTCTTTCCCCTCCCAATCCCACTTTACCCAGCCTATGCACAGTGGAACCAGACGTGCCCATTGTAACTCCTTTGCGCTGTGTTGTTCTATTATTTGGTTTATCTGGAAGCTTTTGGTCCCTGAGCAGAGGCAGGATCTGTGGCTTGCAGCTATAGGCTTAGTTTGACTTCTGTATTTGGGGTGTGTGTGTGTGGGGGGGGGGGTGGCTCCAGGAAGGGCCCCGGGGCATTCATGGGGGGCCGGGGTCCGTTGGTGGCCGGGGGGGCGCCTTTTCAGTTTTTTTTTTTTTTCGGGGGAGGCAACTTTAACCATGATTCCAGGGACTACTTAGACAACTGAAAACTCTAGGGTTGTGTGTTTTTTGTTTTCAGATAATACCTTAGAAACTATCTGACAGGAGCACTGTATCTAATTCTTATCTCAAGAAAGAAATTTAAATAAATATTGGACCCACTCAGCTCTAATACTAACATGTTCTGACATCTTGTGGCAAGTCACTTAACAGACACTGGTTAGGTTTAGAATTGTAATGTCTATTCTTACTCAGATATTCTTACTGAAGTCAGAAGGGACCATCGTGATCATCTTTCTAGTCTGACCTCCTGCATGTTACAGGCCACAGAACCTCACCCACTCGCTCCTGTAGTAGACCCTCTAACCTCTCGCTGAGTTGGTGAAAACTGTGGGCAGGTCTACACTACAAACTCTGCTGTGGTACTTTGATGAAGATGCTCTAAGCCTGCGGGAGACAGCTTTCCTGTTGGCTTAGTTATTCTGTGACTGTCTACGTGGGGAGGCTAAGGTATGTGGATTTTTCACAACCCTCAGCGATGTAGGTATACAAAGTATGTGTGTGGTGTAGACCTGGCTGGAGTCGGCACTACAAGCTAGGGGTGTGATTCCCAGCTTGCACTGATGCACACTAGCTCTCCTCAAGCTAGCGTGAGAAGAGATTGCAGTGCAGCTGTGGCAGCGTGGGCAGCAGCAGCGGAGGCAGGGCTTAGCCGTGCTGAGTGAGTACCAATGGGATTCAGGCGGGTTTGTACTCAGAACAGCTGAGCGATGTCTATGCTGCCACAGCTACACTATTTATACTCCCGCTCGCTTGATGAGAGCTAGTGCAAGGGTGTGTATGCCAGCTGGGAATCACCCCCCTAGCTCAGGGTGTCGACATCGCCTCTGAGTGCCTAGGCGAATGACTCTACCTGAAAGACATCCTATCTGCAAGCCGTTGGGCCGCAGTGAGCCTAGCCAAAGGCCACGTGTGTGAAGCTGTGTATCATTCCCTCCCTGTTCCTATAAATGCCACCATGTGGCTCAGACCCTGGATGGAGACTAGGAGGCTCCGGGGTTCTTCCCCAGGGTATAACCACTCAGTATTATTTCCTGCCCTGGAAAAGATTTTAAGACCTCTCAGGAGAGGGATTTTATGTAGCACATATGTACTACACACTATTATCGGGCTCTCCCTGTGGGGAAGGGACACAAGTGGGGGAGTCCTGGCTGGGGCATCTTCCCCTATTCGATGCGGCTCTTGCTGCTCCACCTACGGAGGGGAGAGGTGAGGAGCCAAAGAAATAAGCCCTCCCAGAAACCACTTCCACCTGCTGCTGCCATTTAATCTTCCTGTCTGGTAAGTTTTGATTTCAAGCCTGCAGGGGGAGCGCTCCTTGTGCTTTGTGCAGAGGAAGAGGAGCTGAGGGTCTCCATGCTACCCATTGCTTTAACCCCTGATCTTCCCTCCCCTCGCAGGTCGCTCATTCATCCATGGCACGTGCTGTTCATCCACCCACTCTCTGAAACACGCCATTCATCCAGGCCACCCAACCAGACCATCCACCCAGGCCACCAAACCAGTCTGTCCGTCCATGCCAGCCAACCAGTTCATCCACCAACCCCACCACCCACCCATGCCATCTGTCCTCCTCAACCATCCTTCTAATCCATGCTCCTATTCATCCATCTCCACTATCCTCTCACCTACAGACAGTTTGAATGAAAAACAGGGAGGCATAGAG